GAAACCCTTTTCCCCGTTTATCCCTATCACGAGGAGAGTGTACGTGTGAGGCTTCAATGTAAAAATAAATCCTCTTCTGTCACACTCCGGCATATTAATAATGACACTTAATGATTCCTGCTTCGTAGTCCCCATATTTGTGTGGGAGTCTGTGACACGCTGCGCGCTGGACACACTTCCCCAGCACACATGGTGCACTCTGCCCATATGCCGTGCAGCTTGGCAAATGAGTCTGAGAAAGGAAATCGGTAGAAACAAATTGCATTAAAAAATCATACAACTTTTAATTGAATTTGAGGCTGCTGGATTGACAGCTCTGGAGACAGGAGTCCTCACCTTATCCACAGAGCAGGTACCGCACAGTAGGTGGCATATTGCCTGCCACAAACCTGTCTAAGTGCCGTTCAAGGACTTTATCTAGGACTGAGAGGGGACTTCTCTCTGCGGCTCATTAAATTCTTGGCTTTTACTCTGATGTTACAATGGCAGGTTCTGTGATGTGGACGCCTGTCTGCGGGGAACTGACTCCAGTTACCAGTGTATTAGAAGGGCATCCAACTGCAGTCAGGTTGTGATGGCTTTCTCAGTCACCCCCAGCCTGGGATGGATCAGAACTAGTATCTCAGGCTGGGCCTACACTGCAACTTTCAGCGCAAAAACTGTAGTCATTCAGGGGTGTGAAAAAATATATTTGTGAGCGAGAAAAGTTTTAGCACTGAAAAGTGCTGGTGTAGCCAGTGCTTTATCACTGGCAGTGCTAGCACCTCTTGTTTGGAATGAGGTGGGGGGAGTTAATCACTGGGAGAGAGCTCTTCCCAGTGATAAAACGTGACAACACAGCCGACGTCACAGAGCTGTCGTGAAGACATACACTTAGATGTGAGAGGCTCTATAGGAAAGGGGACAGAGTGTAGGGCTTCAGGGGGCCAATTTTCATAAGGTCAAATCCTATGTGCAACAAAATGAACCGTGTGCACGTGCAGCTCTTGTGCATATAAACTGGATATTTGTTCGCACCAAGTATGGGTGGGTGTACATGTATAAATGGCCATTTGTATGCAGTTAGAGTAAATGCAGTGCAAAAGAGGCATGAGACTGTGGTGATATTTTGTTGCATAGCCATAGGCAGCTGCCCTTTGCAAAATCAGGCCCATTACATCTTTTCCATGTGCAACACCTATGATTGGATTTAGTCTATTACCAGGCCCATTTGTCAGCAATTCTCTAAGGAAATGGATTCGTGGCTACATTACCTGTATTTTTGTGCTAGGCACAGCTATGTGGCTAGCTCCCCTCAAACATTCATTTCTTTTTAAAGCAAAACCTCATTGGTCAAGGTTTCATTGACTCCACCTACAAGTAAAACTCAAGGAAGGAGTTGGAGCCAGGGACCATAACCCTAAATTCAGGAAGGGCTGAAGTTAAAAGAATGACATTAGGAAGTGTCTTTTGCCATTTGAATAAGGGGTCTCCCCCAATAAAGTTCAGCCTAAATACCATTCTGGACAGGGCTATGTTTCTTTCTGCTCACCTAGGAACACTGACTGTGACCTCCAGGTATGAGCAGATGGAAAACCACCAGGTCCCCTCTACACAGCAGTGGGGAAGAATCTGAACACACTATTTTCAGTCTAGCTCCCATGAGCTGAGGGAGAACTTTGCTTCATAAACACAAGACACCAAGTTTCAAAATGAAATATTTAAATCTGTCTCCTTTAAAATAAATAAAAGGAAAAAATGGTAGGGAACCCCCTCCCCCCCAACGAGGTAGCTCTATGTTGTTCCTTTGAAATCCCTCTAATTGGGCATTTACCTGGGCTGCATTCCACTCTCTCAAAGCCATCACTACAAGTAATACATACACCGATGGAATTACTTTCTTTTAGGCTATTATTCCTCTCTGCAAACAAACTGTTCAGAGCTGCATTTCTTTTTCATGCCAAAGCTATTTGGATGATTGTTCAATAAAATAAAGCCCACCCAGTTAGAGATGATTAGTCACTATTACAGACTAGTCATTGCCCACAAAGTGTCCTCTACGTGTCCAGCCTACTGTTAGGTTAATACAGCCAGAGAATGGGGAGGAAATTGCACTCACTTATGTATTTTTTTTTTTACATTTTTACATTTTTTTCCTCTCATAATTCAGAACCCAGCCAAACACTTGTTGTTTTCTGTTTAACCCTTACATTACCCCTGCCACTGCTCCCTGAGAGCATGCCTCTGAAATCAGCATGATCGCCCCCAGACAGCGAGAGAACAGGGAATGAAGTTGGCTCAAATGATTAGCACTCACCCATCTGGTGGCCTGTCTGACCCCAGCATATTCCTGTGGCTGAAATTTGGACTGAAAGTTCCCTAGGACATCAGCTCCCCAGAGGAAGCAAAAGAGTGCTCTCCCCTTGGCCAATCAGCAGGAGCTGAGCAGGTCGCAGCGGGGCATCTCCTCCTTCCTTGCACCAGCAGCAGATGCACTGAACGGGTCCCAGCAGGGAGTCACCCAGTGGGAGCTGCCTCCCTCTGGCTGAGCATGCTAGGGTCTGCTCGGAGGGGGTCTCAGCAGGTGTTACTTCCTCTGTCAGTCAGTAGGAGCTGTGTAGCACTTGCCTCAGCTGAGAATCTCCTCAGAGCTAGCAGGAGCTGGAAGAACCTAATGTAGCTGGCATGTTCAGTAGCATCACTGAGGTGCTCTATTGGAAATACCAGGCACCAGCCAGGAAGCTAGGCCTGGCCGTGGGATGATGTCCTGTCCTAGTATGATGCATTTCAGCCACTAGAGAATCCATTATGCGCTGTATGCAGCAGGAGTCGAATCTGCACGCACCTGTCTCTCTCCTAACATCTCTCTATATGACTGTAGGCCCTCCATGCTGGGGCAGGAAGTCTCTTCCCTTTGTATCTTGCAGGGCAGTGCAGAGCACCCTGTAGGCTCTCAGCACACACACACCAGAAATATAAAATCGTAAGGATCACGTGTTCCATGTGGAAAGCACTAGCCTGTCATTAGCACTAGGAACATGTGCCCAGCTGCATTCACATTAGGCAGAGTGACACCAAGACATTACCAGCGGGTCAGAGAACTCCCCAAACTACAACTGAAACTCACCCCCCACTTCTGCCACCTCTTCTGGCAAATAGGCCTCCACCCAGAATGCCCTGCCCCAGCACAAGAGCTGGCCTGTCTCAGCTGATGGGGATGGAGCACACAGAAGGAAGCTCTCTTCATGGTAACAATGAGCCAAAACCATAAGTGGCTTTCAGATGGAAACCAGCACCTTAAACTGCACCTAGAAAGAAACCAGGCCAGTTTATGGAATGCACAGGGGTAACGCATGCTATGCAAGGCACTATGACTTTGTCGACACTGCAGGGTTTTTGCACACGAAGCTTTTTGCGGAAGATCTCTTTCTTGCGCAAAAGCGCGTCCACACCTCAAAAGCGCATTGCAAAAGCAATGTGCTTTTGCGCAAGAGAGCGTCCACACTGCATGGATGCTCTTGCGCAAAAAGCTCTGCTTTCCATTAACAGAATGGCCATCAGAGCACCTGTGCTTTTTCTGATAGGCTCTTTTTGTGCAAGAAACCCCTGCGGAGCGTCCACACAAGCCTTTTTGCACAAGAGCTGTAGCGCAAAAAAGAGTTATCCCTCGTAGGGAGATGAATAACTCTACCAGCAAAAGCCCTCTGTCCTGTCGATTTACTGAATTTTTTTTGTGCAAAAACGCACTTGAGGTGTGGATGCTCCGCCAGTGTTTGCGCAAAAACCTTGTAGTGGAGACACAGCCTAAGTGTATGCAGGCAGCCACATTGGGCACTAGCTTAAGTTGTTGAGTGGTGCATACATGGCAATGTGGAAGGTTTTTAGGGTTGGGGGATGCCTCCCGGTATGTGTATTCACATAACCTAATACCATGAGGTCTCCATCTTGTTTGGGGCTTCTTGAACATAAGAACAGCCATACTGGGTTGGATCAAAGGTCCATCTAGCCCAGTATTCCTGCTTCTGATAGTGGCCAATGCAGCTGCCCCAGAGGGAATGAACAGAACAGGTGATCCATGTCTTGTTGCCAAGCAGAAGCTAGGGACACTATTCCTGCTCATCCTGACTAATAGCCTGTGGCGGGGGGACCCCGGCCCCCCCCAAAA